GTATGCAGGACAAAATCATAATATATGTTGTATTAGTACTACTGTACGCAGGATAAAATCATAACACATGTTGTATTAGTACTACTGTACACAGGCCAAAATCACAATACACATTGTATTAATACTACTGTATGCAGGATAAAATCATAACACATGTTGTATTAGTACTACTGTACACAGGACAAAATCACAATACACATTGTATTAATACTACTGTATGCAGGATAAAATCATAACACATGTTGTATTAGTACTACTGTATGCAGGATAAAATCACAATACATGTTGTAATAGTACTTCTGTATGCAGGACAAAATCATAATATATGTTGTATTAGTACTACTGTACGCAGGATAAAATCGTAATATATGTTATATTAGTACTACTGTATGCAGGATAAAATCACAATACATGTTGTATTAGTACTACTGTATGCAGGACAAAATCACAATACATGTTGTATTAGTACTACTGTATGCAGGATAAAATCACAATACATGTTGTATTAGTAATACCATTTTACTACTACTTTTAACAAAAACAACTCAGGAATAGCTTCTATGAATGACAAAGTCAGGAAGAAAAAATTAATTGACTCTGATAATAAGTTGGAGAGATGACTTGTAGGAGGACAACCTGTGCCAATGTTGATGCAAACACCTCAGGCTCCTGATCACAGACCAAATTTTCCTTTTCCTGGGGAACCTCTACAGGGAGACACTGATTTGGATAGCTTGTTTACTCCTCCTCCTTCCTTTACCGTGCAATCCCGAATTCCTGCTGTGGAAGTTCTCAGATCATTTTCAGCCTTCCTTGGTATGTGTCCTTTTATCTGTATCTCATATGTCTAATGATTTGTTCTCTCCTGAATTCTGCTCCTTCCTCGGTTTAACTAGTTTTTTTCCTTCTCCATAAGTCGGGGTACATGCAGACCTGTTTATTGCAATACTATGTTCTGGGGTCAGCATTCTTCATCCCTCGGATACTCTAATTAGTGTACCATCAATCAGATTTTCTGTTTTTGGATTCTCTGACCTTGGAGTTTTTGATTCTGGTATGGAGGTCTGACTCTGATACCATTGTGAAATATTTCCCATCTCCGTTTGATCCTAACCAACCTCCAGCATTACCTCTCCTCTATCCATCTTGTATTTGGGGCTATCCACTGCTCCCTTAAAGGTTGTCGGAGGACATTACTCCCTCATGTATTTCACATTAGAGTGCTTGTTTTTCTTGGCTCTTTCCCTACATCCTTGGCTCACCTGTTTCTGGGACATCCTGGGTGGGCATGCACTTTTAGCTAATGTGTGCCTACCCATGTCTTATTTCTAGGTCCTTCTTATGGCTCCATTTTACACCAAGTGGTTTTGGAGATTTTCTTGAGTCATTGGAGTCCAGGGTGAGGGCTGCTTATCAACACACCTCCCTTTCTTCCTTAGTCTCTTGTATTCCACAGTTTTTACCTGTTCCTGTTTTCCCTCCCTCCCCATTCTATCCCTTTTTACCAGGTCTCAGCAGCTCGTCATCAAATTATTCATCATCAGATACTCCGTTACCAATGATAGCAGTAACTATAAAATAGGTTCTGGCAAGTTAAGCCAGGTTTATGCACCCATGGTATGATTTCACCTCAAC